TTTATAAAAACTGGCACAAAGAATATTTTTCTTGTTGAAGAAAGTCAATTAATTTAAACTCTATTTTTGATCTAAACAAAAAGGTATAGATTTAATCAAAACAAAAATTCTCATTTAAGAAATAATATCAGAAATTATTTGTTTTCTCCAATAAAATAGATCTAGATTTCATTAAACAATTATTTCTTATTTTTAAAAATACAAGTTAATAGAAATTATTTGTTTTAAACAAACACAAATATATGGATTTAATGAAACACAATTCCCATTATAAGGAACATTACTTAATATTTAATCTTATCCATAATCTAATAAAAAAAATCAATGATTTTCATTACATCGATATTTATTAACGTATTATACATTAATTCCACACATCCACAATTTCAGTACTCAAGTGTCAGATTTTTAACTTAGAAAACTTAATTTAATATATATATATTTTTTTGATAAAATAAATGCAGCCTTGGTGAGCAAGAGACTTTTCAAAAAGAGTCAAAAGTAATACCCACCCCAAACTTTTGAACTGTATTGTATGTATGAATAAAAGAAGATTTATTTCATATGACACTGCACTCTAGATAGAATGTATTTCTGCACAGGACACATATTAAAGTTGCTTTATTTTTGGTCATATCATGAAACGATCACGTTACCTGTTCCATCTGCTGCTTTGACCTAGAAAAACAGTTTTATGCATTAAAAAAAAAAAAAAACGAAAAATAAAAAAGGTTTGTAATTATATTATGTTTTTTACTACAAGTTGAGATATAATCATTTAAATGCAGGGTGACATTTTGCTTTTTTTACTTCATTGCATAAAACTCAAAATGTGTTTCTGGGTCATAGTGACTTTAATTATGTTTTTGAATTTTCTTGATTCTTTGTTTCACAATACAAGAATTCATTGTATGAAAACTTACAATAACTTTTAGAACCCAAAACGTTGCTTGTGGGAAAGAAGTGCATTTATTGAAACTAAGCTTGGTGCAAATTTCTGACATTAGACATTGAATAGAAGAGGATAAAGTGTATTGAACAAAATCATTTTAATCTGATCTGTACACTTTGAGTAGCGCAAATCTCGCACAATGATTAATGAAATGAAAATGATCATAGAATAACTAAATTATGATTGTTATTAGTGTAAAAACCAAGCGGCAACCTTCCGGTCTCTCTCTTGAAACCAACACGGAAGTGACTTAAACTTCCAAAACTCCAAAAGGGAGTCAATCCCATAGACCCCCCATGTTAAATTGGCCAACTTTACAGCAGAAAAAAAATGTTTACAGCCTGGTACAAAAAGTGCTTTTGGTCTATATAGCTAATTTTGCCCTTCATGACAACTGTGAGGGGGGTGAATTTTTTTATAACTCATCCGTTTCAATTGCCGCTGCTGTCACCACCGTCGAGCTAGGTGGGCATGGTTTCAGCAACCAGCTCCACCCACGTCCCGCCTCTTTGCCCATTTTTGATTATCCGAGAGTGACGCGTTGCCAAGAGGGCGACGGCCCGCTCCGCCCAATTTAGGCTTCAAAAATGCTCTTCAGAAACCTACGGGTGACGTCACGGACACTACGTCCATTTTTTTTACAGTCTATGGTAAAAACACTCTTACATGAATAAGTGGATCTTGGAGAAAAAAAGTTAATAAGCCTGATAAGACACTGGTCTACAGTAATTCTATTAATATGCATGTGTCTGTTTTTTTCATACAGTTTTTCATGTCAGTACTTAAAGTGCTTCCTGTTGCATGACCAACTCACCTGTCAATCATCACCTTTAAATACATGCATTCTCTCTCTCTCCTCAACTCTAACCCACTGTCACATAAACACACTTCCACACAAAGAGGAGTTTTTTAGGGAACCAGTGGTGATGAAAAATATAATGACAGAGAGGGGAAAAAAACAACCAGAGGGAGAGATGGAGACAGATAATGAGAGAGACTGTGTGTGGAGAAGTCTCATATAGAAGGAATGTATCCGGTATATGTTCACGTGTGTGTGTGTGCGTAATAGCAAGTTTATGTGCTTGAGACAGACAATAGTTGTGTGTCTGTGAAGTTGCTTGTTTAGCAGGCTGTCCCTCTCTTAAACACGATTTTATTCGCTGAGGAGCAAATACACTCTCACAGTCTTTTACAGTCTCTCAAGGTGAGATACAAATGAAGCGCACTTTTTTCAGGTACAGGTACTGCTTTAAGGGCTTCCTGAATCGATTTTTGTCATACTGTAGGATACACATGGAAGAGGGAGTAAGAACTTAAAATGCTTTTATATTGTTCTTTCTGATAGAAACGTTCGTGTTGTATAAACTGACAATCATACAGCCGCGTAAATGGAAAGTAAATATGATTTTAAGTAAATTCAATTGATGTTTAACTTGATTTAAGCTTCTTTGTGCCTTGATGGTTTCAGTATTATGGAAAGAATACTTACATGTCATGTTTGTAATGTTTTTAGCATATTTGGCCAGTCAAACATTTTGCTGGAATATTTCAGACCTTAAGTGTTCACTTCACTTAAAATATATAAATATATTTGGAAGTCAACATTGAGCTCAAATATGCATTGTGTCATTATTACTGTGTTTTTAGTGAAAGAATAATATATATATTAGATGATATTTGGTCATTTTGAGACAATTTTGCTTCCTTTTATCACTTCACTTCCTTTTTCCAATATCGGTGTCAATATTTTTGCTAATTAGAGTATTGTAATATTAGTTTAGCAACATGTAAATCTAATTTTTCCACATTTTTAATAAAAAATATTGTCTAATGTGTAAAATGAAGTGGTGATTTCATGGAGTACGTTTTTGTGTATGTATTTGCAGTCTTAAATATATAGTGTTTTATTTTTATTGAAATCAAATGTGAAATTTAAATGTTATCCTATTTTATTAATTTCATTTTGTTTTATTTTAAGTAAATTGGTCAATTACTAGTGTTTTTCACTAATGCATTTCTGTGGCTGTGCTTATGATAGCTTATGCTTGGTTTTGGTGCTTTTTATGGTTCTGCAATCAGTTGTTTGCTTTTATTCCAGTAGCTTCTGATTTCTATTGACCCAGTGAGTTTTTAATGCAGCTATTATGAGAATGTCATTCAGAGTGGTGTTTGCTGTCGTGCATGACCTGCGGACCAACAATCAGAGAAGACAATGTTGTTATGTTAGAGCTAAATTGCCCCACACCCCATTTTTTAATGCATTCATATTGACTTCATATATTATTATGCCTTGTAATTCAATTCACAAAGAGAAAGAGGATATAGATTCATTTCAACCCCTCTCTCTGAGATATCTTTTATTTAGAATCGTTATTTTTAGTCCTGGATGTCTGGGATGTGGTTCCTTCAAAGGGCCAGAGGAATCTAGAGCAGATTCTTTCCTCCCATCTCTATATCTCCCGTGACCCTTAAGGCCAGCAACTGTTGGCTGCCAGCAACTGGGATACAGTCAGTGAGGCAGAAATGTGTTGCTATGGCTGACATAACTGACATAACACTTGTGCTGACTAACCCATGGCAGATGACCAGTTCTTTAATGCAGAACATGGGCAGTAAATCAGAGCCATGCTCTATTAATTATACAGTGGCCCCTAAAATATTTGGACACTTGAGCATCAGTTAAATATGTATGAATTTCATTGCATAACAAAAAAAATCAAAGCAAGTGGCTGCAAACAAATGATGCTAGTGTTTTCTTAGAATTGACTGACTTTTAGCCATTTTTTTGCAGTGACTTTTAATGATGAAGTTCCACCAATGTTCCAAAACGAGAAAATGTTGAAATACTTTTTAATAGTGAACAATGTATTATCAAAACAAACTACTTTTTGTGAAATGTTTGAAAAGTATACTTGTGCTTTTTCTTTAAAATTAACGATACTTTGTAAATTTTGTTATTTAATGCAGTTATATTCTTACATTTTTAAGTGTACTGTAACCAAAGTGTCCAAGTTTTTTTTTTTTTTTTTTTTGTGGGACCCATATGAAATTACTCACTTGTTTTAATATTTGTAAATAGGCTGGTGCATTCGTAAGAGTTGGTAATTGATAGAAAATACAGCTTTGACATGAATAGAGTTTACACAACATGAAAATGTATTATTTGAGAAACTACACATATTAGTCTTAAGTGGGAATATTTGTAATTAAAAAAATGTGTCACCTTTTTTAATAGACTAGGCAAAAATGTAAAAAAAATTATACTATATTAGATAAAAATCACTGTAGTATACTGTATGCTATATTATAATGGTACAATTATTATGAATAAATTCTTATATTTTTATTCTTATTCTTATTATTATTTACCTGAAATATAGATTTTAATTTAATGTCTGCTAATAGCAGACATTAAATTAAAATCTATATTTATAGAATATATCTGATGTATGTTTTTTTTTTTGGAGGGGGGGTTGTATTAATGCCTGTATATTGTTAACATAGCATGAAATATTGGCTCCATAAATAGAACCATGATTATGGATAACCTCGACCCGAGAGTATGGTAAATGTCATTAACATATTCTTAGTAGAGTCCACATGACCTTTATGTATAGCCTATTACATCACTCTCCTCTCAGCCAATCAAATATGCTTATGCTCTGAATTGAGTGACACTAGGATACGGCTGGGTCAGCATCAGGGCCTCGACGGCGTCTCCTAGCAACAGGGCAAATGTGACGCCCTCAGCGATTGGAAGCAAAGGCTTTGCATACTGCTTTGACTGAGCAGCCAATCTATGCTCTCTGATATCACTGCAGCTCCTAGAGTGAGTGAACGTCCAGTCACGTATTCAGCCACAGAGCAGATGTGAAGCAACCTCAATCTAGACTGCAGGGACACAGCATCTGTTCTGAACTTAACCGGCCTGTTTGTTTTAAGTGATAATGGCTCCTTTCTGTGTTTAAATGTGTGTGTGGTTTGTAATGATGATTTTAAATGATCGCTACAGTGCTTATCAACATGCTCTCTCGTAATTTCTCTCTAGATTGAGAACATTGGTGTCTGTCTGAGCTTCCTAGCAGCCAAAGGTGTGAACATACAGGGACTTTCAGCTGAAGGTAAAAACACAGTTTTTAAAATTTATTTACAGCTTCAAGCTAGATTTTATTTACAATTTGATCTTAGATGATTGCGAAATATGGGTATTTCACACTTTAAATTGTTAAGTTTCACACTGTTAATACTTCACTATAGATTAGTAATTTAGCAGTTTGGGTAGTCAGGTTTCAAGAATTTACACTGTACATCTGCAAACTGTGGGTTAATGTTTTAATTTGCATATTTATTGGACAAGTACAGCACACAATTTGTTTGCTTTTTTGAGTGCCTCTTCATCACATAATGTGTTTTCCTTCACTCTTTGTCATTTTTACATTTCCCTTAGACGCTGAAACAAAAGTTTCTTCAACTGTACCAAGAACATTAATATTTAATGAAGCATGAGTTGTTTAGTTTATCATTGGCTATTTATTGCAGGAAAACAAACATACACAACATTTCAAACTTTGTTGCCATTGCAAAAGCTGTACTTCATAACTTACAGTTAAGACAAATTTGTTTGTATAGTGTTAATGTTGAAAAAAATGTTATAAAATTCATAAATTATTAAACAAATTCAAGCTGTAAAGCAGCTCTACAGAAGACAATTATTCAGCTCAATTTAGTTCAATGTTGTTTCAATTCAGTTTAATAACTGTCAATGTTGTAAAGTTTATCAATTATGAAACGAGTTCAATTAAACTGTAAGCAGCTCTTTAGAGGGCAATAGTGTTCTTAATTATTCATGTAACGTAAGTCAGTTCAATTTAGTTAATTCGATAGTATCAGTGCAGTTTAATCGATAATATTACTGAATATTAATCGTCTTTTTAAGCCCCCTAAAAGTGGTGCTATCACCCTTTCAAAATTACAAGCTGCTTAAAGGGATAGTTCACCCAAAATTGAAAATTCTGTCATTAATCACTCACCCTCATGTTGTTCCAAACCCGTAAGACCTCCGTTTATCTTCGGAACACAAATTAAGATATTTTTAATGAATTCTGAGAGCTCTCTGACCCTCCCATAGACAGTATTCTCGTAGCGTCTCTGGACCTTGATCGTGTAAGGACCCTTGCTGTCTATGGGAGGGTCAGAGAGCTCTCAGAATACATCAAAAATATCTTAATTTGCGTTCCGAAGATGAACGGCGGTCTTACGGGTTTGGAACAACATGAGGGTGAGTAATTAATGACAGAATTTTCATTTTTGGGTGAACTATCCCTTTAACGTAAAAAGTGACGTTAGTGTAAAAGCATATTAATGAAACAACTGTAAAATATCAAAGCAGTTGGCTTTATTGTCAGCCACTTGACTGGTATCAGTGGCTGATAACAGTGGCTGATAGCTGGAAGGTTGTAGGTTCAGTTCCCACAAGAAGCAAGAGTGAGGCACACAACCCCATCATGCTTTACAGGGGACTATGCTTGTAATTAGAGATTGCCCTACTAATTACTTTGAGCGAAAAGTGTCTGCAAAATTATATAGTAAACAGCTAAATGTTTTTCCCTCACAGAGATCCGGAATGGCAATCTGAAAGCCATCTTGGGGCTTTTCTTTAGCCTGTCTCGATACAAGCAGCAGCAACAGCCGCAGACGAACAGACAGACACACACGCAACACACACATTCACACGCTCCCTTAAGCCAGCAGAGCAGCGCTCCAGCCCAGCTGACCTCCACCTCGCATGGGACGCACACACAAAAATCACAGCCAGAGATGCAGTCCAGGTAACATCTATCTATCTATCTATCTATCTATCTATCTATCTATCTATCTGAGTCTGTCCACCCCTTTCTTTAG